ACACACACACACACACACACACACACACACACACACACACACACACACACACACACACATACACACACAGACTTGATTCAGAAGTTATACCGCACAACTGGAAATGTTGGTTCCAACATAAAGCTCCTGCAGACAGGTAACAGTTTACACCTGCGTCTATCAGACCCTTGCACTTTTTATAACTTAAAAATTTTTACACACCAACTTTATTTCTGCCAGAGAGCTGTCAGGGAGTGAGAGTCGCAGGGCGTGTGGTTACCATAGTGACTGTGACATAAAACAGCTTCTCACACAGCTTTAACAACMAGATGCAGCTTAAGTTCTTAACAGGTGGGTGTAACAGAAGAAAGATGATGTTGGATTTTTGACCAGAAGCTTCACTGGAAGAATTCTTTTTAAACTGCTCCATAAAGTTTACCACTTTTTTTTTACCCTCAGGTCTCACAGCTGGTTTAAACTAAGTCAGCAGGTCTGAATGAAAGTGGAGGATTTTCCACCGCCCACAAAGGACTTTAAATGTTCTGTAGAAACTAAAAATAACAAGACAGAACAGGAAAGGCTCTTTCTGTGTCACATCAAGAATTATGTGAAGCCACGCCCCCTGTCTTTGGTCCACTCATCCATCCAGGTCACCAAACCAGACCTGTGGCATGTCAGAAAACTGTGCGTAAAAACGGTAATAATCACTGTATGTGTGTGTGAGAGGGGGGTGTAAAAGGTGTGTACTTACGACCAACACCGACGTCCTCACCACCTCCGACACGCTCTGCCTGAGCTCGGCCGCGGTGCCAGGTTTACTCAGACACCGCGTAAACTTCCTGGTCTCCGGGTGCACGGGGGTCCCCATCTTTACGCACGGCTCTGCGCATCAACAACCCGTCCAGCCTGCGCGTCTTTTTATCTCGCTTTTTCTTTCTTTCTTTTCTTTTCTTTTTTTTTTTCAGAGGAAATCCATCACGGGCTGATCCGCATTTCGAGCCCTACTTCTTCTTGTGCGCACCACGAGTTGGAAGTTTCATGTTGTTGTTTGTTGCCGTTCRTTCTCGACCCATCGGCGCAGTCCTCGAACCTAAAACGCTCCGTATTCCGCAAGAATCCTTCCCTCCATCGAGACGGAGTTGTCACGGCGAGGTATCCCCAGAAGGAGTGCTGCTTCATCGGCCGTGCAGCCGCAGACAGGAGGTGAATAATCTGTCCTGAACTCGGCGCACTCCGCCCCTCACCGGCTGAAAGGCCTGCCCACTCCTGGATGTGAAAGCTGCTGCAAGTCCTGGACTTTGGATTGCAGGCGGCTACAGGGGGCGAATAACAGAGTCCAGGTTTTCCCATGATGACACACACAAAAAGTGGGTTTAAATCGCCTCCTGACATCCAGGTCAAGTCTGAGACTAAGCAGAAAAAAAAAGTTGACTTCCACACCTAAAAGCAAATTGCAGGCACCATTCTGAAAACTGTCAGCTCAGGTTATCACTGTATTAAAAACCTACATCTAAAACCAATGATGCATGAGAATTTCTAAAGCATCTTCATGTAAAAAGCATRTATAATTTTCTTCATGTTAACCTTTCAGAACAGCAGAATTTATACACAAATGTTCATTATTTKAAGTCTGATGACATCATTTAAACAACTTTATCAAATATTCTGAGTAGTACTCAAGTAGCCTTTTTAAGAAATATTTGTTTTACTTTTACTCGAGTACAACGTTTAGGTACTCTACCCACCTCAATCTGCAAGTCAAATAGCAGTAGCAGCTAACTGTAGCACTTCCTGGTCCAGTTCGAGCAGGAAAATCCCACACTTGTCAGGAAAACCATACCTGTTCACAGCAAATATTTATTAATGAAATGTTTCTTTTTTTATCAGAAAATGTGTACGTTTATTTATTTATTTTTATCCACGTGATGCTTTATTTATAATTTCTAAACACTTTTGGTTTGGAGTTCAATTTGATTTAATTAAAACCAAAACTGACTTATTTTTCTGCAGCAGATTGGAGGTCATGTTTGCAGATTTTATGGTGGATTGTTTAGAAGAACAACAGCCTTCTTTTAGATATGAATAAAATCTAATCCTGGAAAAATAAAATTAGCTGTGAAATTAAAGCTCTTTCCTCTTTTTTCTTTTTAATTCGGACTTTTTTGATCAGTAATGCCMCCTGCAGGTTGTTTCAGGAACTGCAGCACAAAGCAGACATCTTTCCACACACTTCTTTTTGCAATAAACACAAACAGGAAAAAAATTGAATTTGAATAAAGTTTTTTTTATTGCTTTCATTTCCAAAAAAGCTTTCTCGTTATCTAGAAAAAAAAAACACTGCTATTCCAAGCAGAGCTGAGGTTTTCCTTTCTCATAATAACTTCACTGCAAAACTGTCAAAAGCTCATTTCCGTTCATTCAGACCCATAAAAAAACAAGTGGCAGCTTAGTTCAGTGAGGTGAAACCATGTTTGGAACTGAAAGTTTCCATTTTAATTCACAMACAATCTTTAAAGCTTTCAGTTATGCATTCCTTCATAATCATGTCTCATACAGCAGAATGGTGACATCTGATTTAAAAAAACGAGTGTTTATTAAACAGTGATAGCAAATAGTTTTACTTTCTTAAAACAGCATTAGTGATGGCAGCTACCTCTGGTAGTAAAATATTTTCATGTTTTCTTTTTTTAAACTTTTTACAAGATCATTTTGTGCAGAACCAGTCATGAACCAAGTTTTTACAGGTAAGTGGGGGGGTCTGTTTACGGTAATTTAAAATCTAATCATCCCACTCCCCGTTGTAACAAAAATAACCTTAAAAAATCCCAAACAATGCTATAAACTGATTTGGCACCAAAGTTGCTGGATGTATTTGTTTTTAGCTGTTTTCTGTTAAATTAATAAAGTTCAGTAAAACCAAAACAACAACAAAAAAAAGTGAGAATTTACGTGTCTAAGAAAGGATCTATATCAGCGCGTTCCTGCTGTAAAGACAGCCAGTGACAAAATGTAAAAGCAGACAAAGACAGACAGGAAGTGGTCCAGGTTGTTAGAAAACTGTATAAAATAACATCCGTAAAAAGAGGTTTCTGAGTTGAGAGTAAAAATGCGAGTTTCTGATGCAGTCTAAACCAGCGGACGTGTCACCATTAAAGCATTAAAAAAAGCACCAACTGTGCACAGACACATGGACAAATGTCCCAGATGTGAGTAGAAAAAAAAAGGAAGTCTGAGGGAAGAAGATGGGGACGGGCAGATTCCACCCATAAGGAGATGTAATGAAAAAAGTGACAACTCAGTGAGGGTCTTTGCTGTTCAGGACACGGGAATGACTCGAGGGGAGCGTAGCGCTGCGGATGACCTCCATCCACCTGCAGGCAGAGACAGGCGTTTTATCAGCACACGGCAAAAAAACAAACATTGAGAAAAAGAAGCGACTGAGGAACCTGCACCTTTCAAACGAGTATTCGCTCTCCGATCTGAAGTAGTACACGTGGGACTTGAAATGCAGTTTGAAGACGTAGTCCTTGTGGATGTTTTCCTTCTCGGAGGGGATCGTGACGGAGTAACCCAGCAGAGGGAGGCTGGCTAATGGATAATCATCCTGAGGGAAGATTTGGAAGGAATAAAAAATAAATAAATTTGACTAAAAGTTCAATGACAGTATGAGCACACTGAGCAAAAATAACACAATTTTCCCAGTAATAACAAAAAATATATATATTTGCATCAAATGACTTCATTGCTTTATGCAACTAGTTTTTCAATAATTATTATAATTATTGCTGAAGTGAAGAAAGCCCCGCTGTTTAGGAAATTAAATCCTACTTATGACCCAGATTTTAATTTTTATATTTATATTTTGTGGATCGAGGCTGAAATCCTAATTTAATCACAAGTATTGAGGTTAAACTTAAAACCAGAGACCGTTAAACAACAGAGAAGAGGCAGGTAGCTGTGTGAAGCTGACACCCCACCCACGTCAAAAAATCCATCAAATAGTCAGAATCGTTAGTGCTCCGTTTGTGCAGGTTTGTGCAGGTTTGTGCAGGTTTGTGCAGG